GAAGCAAATTAATTCTCCATGGTTTTAATTTTTTTGTTAATACTTTTTTTTTTCCAAATACAAAATGAAAGAGTTTTTCAAAAAATGAATGATATATTAATATAACATGTTCTCTGCTATTAAGTGAAATATGTAATGGTTTCAAAATAGGAATAAAAGAATTAATTTCATCTGGTATTATATATTGTGAATTTGTTTTATGCAAATTTGTTATTGCTTTTCTAACAAACAACTGTCCTGGCCAATCTGCTACCAATGGGACTATTCAATTACATAAATGTCCAGTATCTTTATCAATATTCAATATCATTTGTAATGCCATTATATAATTATTCATTGAATGCAGGTTTTTTTCTTGAAGTTCAATTAATCATACTTTTTTCATTAAACGTTCTTCTTTTTTTTCTGCAATTACATCATCATAGTAATATACAGTAAGTAATTCAATTTGATCAAAATTATTAATATCTGACTTTCCATTTGTAACCCATTGTTTTTTACAGTTGGTGTAGGCAATATCAAATATTCTATAATATTCATTTATTAATCGAAAACAAATATTACTAGCATCGATATTTACTGGATTGTGTACTGGTATATTGTTAAATACAATAGGTATAGGTGCACATGCAAAGACTTGCTTACAAATGCAAGTAGCCATGTGTTTTATTGTAGATAAAATTATATTATCAGGACATCTTTTTTTGTGAATATTATGGTAATCGTCTAAATTATAAATGTACAAGTAATTGTTCTAATTGTTAATTAAAATAAATTAAAATTAATATTAAATTTTATTAAAAAAAAATTAAAAATTTTATTATTATTATTACTTGTTCTCTAAAGAACTCTCTAATTTTTAAAGGATGTTCATTTGCAAGTTTTCTTTTGAAATTATTAACTGTTGTATAATATGCAGAAAGTTCAATACTATTCATTGTATCAATTGCAGTACGTGTTGTATCTGATGCTGACAAATAAAATCCAATTTCTAACTTAAGGTCATTAGCAAACTTGTTTCGCAATCCTGCCATAATGTAACATAGACTTACAATTGTTTTTTGTGCTTCAATCTTATTGTGTTCAGATCTTCGATTAGGAATTAATGCCTTCATTAATTTATTGAAAAAACCTTTTAAACATGGCTCAGCTTTTACAATCATTTGTTGAAAACAGAAGGGGTCAAGCTCTATATTATCACGTTGTACATACAAAACTTTTGTAAGCATAGCAATTTGCTTAACAAAAGAATAATTTTTTGATTCTATAAAATAAAAAAAAGTTAAACAAATGATTTTACATTAAAAATATATATAAATAATTAATATTATCTGGTGTTCTTAGTTTCTGACCATGATCGAGTTCAACTATTCGCAAATAATGGAGATAACATAATTGTTGTCCAATTTTTAAATATGGATAAGTTTTATAAGTTCTTTTTTTAAGCTTTACTATATGCTAGAGAAGTAAATTGATGATAACGATCTTGTGGAAGATTACAATTTTATACAGAGCAAGGACCATAGTTTTTTGGTGCCATAATGTATAAAGGTTGTTTTGTAAACGAAATTTTTAAAATCATTTTACTTTAAGTGTAATCATATAAAAAATATTTAATCAGAACACGGTCAATAACGACCAATCACGATCAACTACAACAAATCACGATATTGTTAATTATAGCCAATAAAAATAAACTTTCTCTATGCTGATTTTTCTGAAAATTTGTTATACTGTATATGGAGTTAATCCTAAAAAAAATATGGTTTTCAATTTCGAAACCACCTGGACAACATATTGCTTGGGTGATATCGATTGTTCAAACAATACTAAATTTGAAAAATAGTTATATAAGAATAATGGAAGATTGTATAAAAATCTTTTATCAATTAATATTGTAAGTATTTGTAACTTCACTTTTAAAAAATTCTGAAAATTTACTAAAAACTTAGTATAAAAATAGGAAAAATAAAAAAGAAAAAAACATTCGAAATATCTGAATCTGAAAATTTTCAATCTTCTTCTTCTTCCTCCTTCTCCTCTTCTTTTCCTCAATTACTATCTTCTTCTCAAAAAAAAAAAGTTTCAGTTCTAGCTTCAGAAATTTCAAAGATTTCTAAAAGGCTTGAACCTGAATTCCTGTCACTTAGTGAAATCTGAAAACGTGTAGAAGAAAAAGTTAAAAAAAGAAAAATTGAGAAAATTATTGAAAGTGAGAATGAAGCTGAAAGCGAAAGCTCACTTAAATCAAATTGCGAAAGCTTGCCTGAATCATATGAAAGTAGTATCAATGGTAATAAAAAAAATAATGAACAAGAATCTATTTAAGAAGAAAAATAATTTTTCTTTATTTTATATATAATTTTTTTTATTTGTATATAATTTTTTCCATTTATATTTGTCAAATTCTATTATTTCTTATTAAATAATAATGAATAAAAATAAATATATATGCAATGTTTTACGAAAATTTATAAAAAATATAATAAAAAATTTGAAAATTTGAAAATTTTGAAAAAAATTAAAACAAAAATAAATAGATTATTTCAAAAGGCATTAAAAATATTTTGAAATATCTAAATTATAGAAATTTATTATACTGAAAATTTTCAAAATTATATTACATAAAAAAATTTCAGAATTTTATATCAATATCAGAATTTTATAATATTTTTGAAAATTTTTGTAGGTCCTGTAATATGACGAAAATTTATGTGACAAAAATTTCCAGAAATTTTCATCTATTAAAATTTACTGATGTATAATAAAATAATTCTCACGTTTTTTCTCACTTACCTTCTCTTCTCTACTTCTTTGAGATCGTAATCATTAGCTTTTGTGGATTCTTCTTTCTTGGAATTGGTAGAATGTATTGTAACGGATGTACGGAGTAAATTTTTTTTTCTTAAATCAAAAAAATCAAGTAATTAATTTTTGTACTATGTACTAAATATACTAACTGTACTAAGAGTAGATAATATATCTGAATTTTGCATAAAAATGTATTAGTACTATTTGTACTAAGTACACTAGTACATTAGTACAAATTTAGTACTTGTACTAAAATTTCACTAGTACAGTGTACTTCTTCAACCTTGGTCTAGACTATACATGTTCCTAAAATTGATTTTAGCTTTTTGAAATATTTTGACTTTTTGAGATTTATGCAAAATCTATTCTATATATAGAAGTAAAAAAAGTATTCAGTTATATGTATCTTTAATCAAAGAATAAATCTGGGTAGTTAAAAAAGTTCAGATTTTAAATAAAATAATTTTGTCTTCTATAAAAAACTATTTTGACTTTTTTTTCTGAAATTGCAATTTCAAGACTTCAAAATAATTTTGCATACAAGTATCACTGGTCAAAAATTGATAAATCATATATATATCAGGTACCCAATATATATATGGTATGTCCCTAATATCAGGTATATCAGATACCCAATAGGTGTAGAAAATATTTTTTTACACTTATCAAGTACTCGATATATATATAAAATATTTTTTATACCTATCGGGTACCCAATATATGCCTGATATTAGGAATGTACTATGTACATATCAGATATCTGATGTGTATATGATTTATCAATTTTTGACCAGTGTATAGTCTAAACTAAACCATTTGTAATTTATATAAACTACAAATGGCTGAACATTTTGTATGTACTTTCATTATCTAACTTTTCTCATATTTTTTGTTATATCCAACACTACATATACGAATTCCTATGCTTAATACTGTTAATGCAAATGAGAATATGAGTGCTAAAGTGAAGCAATATATATTTGTATGTATTGTCTTCATGAGTGTCAAAGTATTTTCTATTTGTGCTAACTCCACTACTACGTAACATGAGTGCCCATGTAATGCTTAGGATCTTGACTATACTTGCACACAAAATTATTTTGGAGTTCCGAAATTACAATTTTGGAAAAAAAAGTCAAAATAGTTTTTCATAGAAGATGAAATTATTTTACTTAAAATCTGAAATTTTTTGATCATCCAGATTTATTCTTTGATTAAAGATATATATAACTGGGTACTTTTTTTACTTCCATATATAGAATAGATTCTGCATAAATCTCAAAAAGTTGAAATACCTCAAAAATTCAAAATCAATTTTAGGAACATGTATAATCTTGACTATACTTTTAGTACTATAAGGGTATGAGTGCCAAAGTGAGGAAGAATATAGTACTTGTATATATTACCTTCATGAGTGCCAAAGTATTTTCTAGCTGTGCCACTAGTATCTTCTTGATGCCTCTTCATTTACCAGTGCCAAAGTGTTTGTAGTTTTCACCAATGAAGGATTCCTAGAATTGAGAGTTTTCAAAATAAAAATAAAAAGGCGAGAAGAAGAACTTTTATTATCAAGTAAGTATTTAATATTTTATATGCGGAAAAGGGATTTTACAATTATTTTCTGTGTTTAATTATTTCTAAGTTAGTTATGTATCAATGCTTATTGTAATTATTATAATAATAATAATAAAATATCAATATTTAAAATATTCTTGTAATGGGGTTGTATTTTAATTTTATTATTTGTTAATAAAAATAAAAGGTTATTACATTTTATTCGCGTGTGAAATATGTAAAAATCCTAATTGTAATTTTTTTTTAATATTATTTATTGTTGGATGTTATAAAATATAAATGTCCTTAATAATATACAGTTTACATTTCCGTGATACGTTTATTATATCCGAATAAATATTATCATGATAAAATAATGAAATTTCTTTATTGATATAATTGCAAATCGATATTATATATATTTTTACGGGATATATACGAATAATAGCCAATTAAATGATTTAACACTGTGCAACAATGAAAGAATTTGCAATTATGACTCAGTAGAAGGCTTATAATATACCGTAGCCACATTTTATTGAGACATGAAAAGTGTAAGTCTCTTGCTCCATTTTTAAAGCTTTTTTGAGAGTGCTTTTAATATATATATATATTTGATTTTACGTTGCACCAAAATGTCTACGAAAGGTTTGTCAGTAGATCAAAAATATGAATTAATAACGAGAAATCTTCAGGAAGTGTTGGGCGGGGAAGAAATCTTGAAAATATTGAAGGAGAGAGATTTAAAACTCTATTGGGGTACAGCACCTACTGGAAAACCTCATATTGGTTACTTTGTTCCGATGTCAAAAATTGCTGACTTTTTATCTGCAGGTGTTGAGGTAAGAAATATAATTTATAGTTTTCTCAATCTGAGAATAATAAGTTTAAATTTTTTCTATGCGACTTTTTAGGTAACAATTCTTTTAGCCGATATCCATGCCTTCCTTGATAATATGAAAGCACCTCTTGATGTTGTAAAATTCCGAACTAAATACTACGAAGAACTTATTAAAGCCACACTTATATCAATTGGAGTTCCTATCGAAAAACTTAAATTTGTTGTCGGTTCTACTTATCAATTAACAGAGAAATATAGCTTGGATAATTTTAAATTATGTGCAATGGTGACTGAACACGATGCCAAAAAGGCAGGTGCGGAAGTAGTTAAACAGGTTGAATCGGCCTTGCTATCAGGATTGTTATATCCAGGACTTCAAGCGTTGGATGAAGAATATTTGGAAGTAGATGCACAATTTGGAGGAGTTGATCAAAGGAAAATATTTGTTTTCGCTGAAAAATATTTACCACACCTTGGTTATAAGAAACGCGCTCATTTAATGAATCCTATGGTTCCTGGTTTGACAGGTTCCAAAATGTCATCATCTGATCCTGATTCAAAGATTGATCTTCTTGACGATAGACCTGCCGTAAAACGTAAATTGAAAAAAGCTTTTTGTGAGGAAGGAAATGTGGAAGATAATGGTGTCTTGGCATTTGTAAAATCAGTTTTGTTTCCCCTTGGATCACTAAATGGTCAAACACCTAAATTCATTATTAGTCGTCCTGAAAAATATGGTGGACAAGTTATTTATAATGATTATCAAACATTAGAAAATGATTTTCGTGATAAAAAGGTTCATCCCGGAGATTTAAAATCTGCGGTAGCTGAAGCCATTAATAAATTATTAGATCCTATTAGAGAAAAATGGGCAAATAATCCTGAACTTTCAAAATTAACGACTCAAGCTTATCCTGTACCTAAAAGTGAAAATGTACCAGTAAAAAAGAAAGAGTCTAAAAAACATAATAAAATACCATTGGAGAAAAAATTGGCAAATCAAGATTTAGTCGAAGCAAAAAAAGAAAAGATGGATAAAATAACTACTATTCCAGTTAACCAAGTCAAGGATGAAAAGATGTAAGAATATAAGAAAACAAAACATATTTATATTGTATATTTCGGTTTTAATTTTGCAAAATAATAAAGATTCAATCTAAAAAACTGATTTTATTTTGTAAATACTTGCGTTCAAATTTTTAATAAAGTAAAACGAGTTACATTGTTGTTAATATTAGCTTGTTTGCTTGTAGTATTTTCTGTTCTATGCCGCCAATATTCTCTTGCTCGTTGTAACAGCAAGTGCCGGAGGATTTTTTACATTTTTCGACTTCACCCGCGATTTACAAAGCGTAGAGCGATTTTCTACTAAGATATTTCTAAGATAGAAAGAAAGGCCTTATTCTTGGCTACAAAATGATATGTGTTTCATCCCGGTAGCATCGATATTCGTGGAGATATTCTAGTTTAAATTAAATTTATTATTTATATTTATTATTTATAATACATAGCACAATAATAATAATAATTTATATATAGTTACTTAAACATTAGCATCACGTAATCCGAAAGATTTAAATATTATACACTATGAATCTAAGTTGAGGATTGTGTTTAATTTTGCAGGAATTAATAGTAATAGTCGATGTCAATATATAGGAAAAAAGGACGATTAAAAATAGTTTAAGAGTTTGTCTACTCAGTTAAATTATTTGTATGTATAATTTAATAACACAGGATCCACAAACTAATAATCATGCTTATACGCACTTGTCATTTTTATATAAAAACTTTGGAAGAACAAAATTAAAAATTTATATGATATTGTTGATGAAATTGAAAGAATTCATGAAAAGAAAATTATACATGGCATAAAAAAAATTATAACAACGAAAATTAAATCCTATATAAACAATCTGAATTCCTAATTCCTATTTCTCATAATAAAAATAAAATTAAATATATAACTATAACTAAATATATAGTAAAAAATAAAAATAATATTTAGATTTAATACAGATTAGAAAAGAAGAAGCAATTTTTCACTAAGTATGATGAATGCTAGTAATAGTAATAATTATTTTGTAAAAATGTAATATATATAATATAAAAAAGTCTATCAAAATATTGAATTGTTTTAATTCATGTAAAACAAATGTTTTTTGTAAATATGAAAATATTTTTGGATACTTACTTCCAAAGAAGCATATGTACAACCATACTTGTTTTTCCGGATTTACAAGTACCTGTAATAAGAAGTCTAAAAGGGTTGCTTCGGAATATAGAAATTCCATTTTTTTGGTGATAATTCTTCTAATTTATGTAAACTGTAATACTCAATATCTGACATGAAGTAAAGAGATTCATATTATTTTTTTTAATATATATTAGAGCAAAAATAGAAAAGATACCAGCCTCTTAAGGGATATCGAAACGTTATATAAATAAATAGATCAATAATAAATATATTATGTATTACTAACCTGTCACATCTCAGCTCGAATATTTTGTAAGAATGCAAAATGTAATGGTACAATCAAATCTAACTTATTATTTTAACTCACGCTAATGCCATTCTAAATCAAATATTCTCTATATAATGCTTGTAAAATTTAGGGGTTTAAACTTTCGAAACCGGATCATCCGTGTGATATTTTTTATTTTTAGTTTTTTTTTTTTAATTTTTGACTTTAAACTAGAATAAATCTGCGAATAACGATTCTACAGGGATAAAACACATATCATTTTGTAGCCAAGAACAAGACCGTTCTATCTATATTAGAAATATATTAGTAAAAAATCGCTATACGCTTCGCAAATCGCGAGCGAAGTCAAAAAAAAAGTGAAAATTCCAGAAATTTTTACTTTTTTTCGAATTCGCTCGCGATTTGCGAAGCGTATAGCGATTTTTTACTAATATATTTCTAATATAGATAGAACGGCCTTGTTCTTGGCTACAAAATGATATATGTTTTATCCCTGTAGAATCGTTATTCGCAGATTTTTTCCAGTTTTAAAGAAAAACGTCTGTGAAAAATCATATGAAATCATGCGAAAATCTGTACGCACAATTTTTCACAGACGTTTTTCTTTAAACTGGAATAACTTTGCGAATATCGATGCTACAGTGATGAAACACATATCATTTTGTAGCTAACAACAAGGAAATTATATCTATATTAGAAATATATTAGTAAAAATTGCTTTACGCCTCATAAATCGCGAGCGAAGACAAAAAAAATAAAAAAAAAACTTCTGTAAATTTTTGTCAGATAATGAAAATTTGCACAAATTTTTGTTTCCCAAAATTTCTTGATAAATTATGGTTAACTTTATTTAAATTTAAATATTATAATAATAATTAATCCTATTTCATCCAGATCAAATAATTCAAATAAAAACTTAACTGAAATTGGTTATAATGATTAAACCTATTTCACCTGGTTTATACTTCAAACCAGATGAAACCAGGTGAAATTTTTTGAAAATCATCTGTGTTCACCTGGATATCTGGTTTTAAAGTCACCCAGATATCCAGATTGCTTATAGGGATCCAGTTCCAATCTCTAGTAAAATTGCTGAGATGATCAATGTATTTCTAATAATTATATTAATTATGTTAATTGCAATACTCCATTAAGATGAAAATGCACAAAAGGACATGAGTGGACTGCTAACTTTTACAATATAAAAAATATTAAAGATGTGGTGTTCTATTTGAATAAAAAATCAAGGTATGTGGTGTTCAGATTGTAGATATATAAACCTCTTAGTCTTGAAATTGCTAAACAAATAGTTCATAATAGAAGTGAAGAGTATGTACATTTCAATCAAATATAAAAATTCCAATGTTTCAATACAATGGTAATGCATTATGGGATATAAATGGAATGCAACACTTAATAGTATAAAAGCTGGATAATAGTATTCACATTGTGCCAATGTAATTCCTAAGGATAGGAGATACAATATGAATTAACACTAGTCAAAAATTTATAAATACTACACCTATTAGGTACCTGATAGGTGTAAGAGTAATGTACAGTTGTATTAGAAAGTGATGCCCGATTTAAAATTGAGGCAAAATTTTATTTATTTTATAAAATTATGCATAAAAATATTTTTATAACAGTTAATATTTTGTTGATCCTCCCTTTGCCTCTAGTACTGTATTAATTCTTCTTGACATTAAGGTAACAACCTCTTCAAAAACAGAGCAATCCAAATTTTTCCATTCTTTTTTTAGTGTAGTTTTAAGTTCATTTATATTTCTTGAAAAGGTCTCAGAGTTCTGAATTTTATCTTTTAATTGCTTCCAAATGTTCCCTATTGGATTTAGATCTGGAGAATTTGCTGGCCAATCAATAATTGAAATTTTATTAGTTTTAAACCATTCTTTAGTTATTTTTGTAGTATGTATTGATACATTATCTTGTTGAAAAACTACAGTCTTTTTTGTTTTATTATAAACTTTATATCAAAATGGAATTAAATATAAATTTAGAATTGTAAGTATTTGAATTGATCCTTTTATTTTCTTCTTTGTTTTCATCACAAAAAATTAATAGTCCTTTTATTCCTTCTGTAAAATAATCCCAAACCATAACTGATTTTCAACCACTTTTAAAATAGATTTCAAACATTCAATACTAAACCTTTTCCCTACACCTCTCCAAACTCTTATTTGTCATGATTGCTTTTCAATCTCAACACTTGATTTATCTGAGAAAATAACTTGTGCCCAATTATAAGCCTTTTTATTTTTATATTTTTTATACCAACTCATATAAGCAGAAGCATGCCTTTCTGATACAAAAGATTTTTTTATAACAACATGGAAATAAATTCCAGTATCATATAATGTCTGTTTAGCAGTTATTAAACTATAGTTTAAACTTAATGTATTAATAATTTCATGTAAGGGTGATGTCAGTTCTTTGTAACTTCATTTACGAGTTTATTTTTTTCATTATTATTGAAAACAGATGGCCATCTTGAACATGATAAATTTTCAGTATTTCCTATCTTCTTGTATTTGTTAATAAATTGGTATATTGTGATAGGGTCATATCCTATTTTTTTATTATTTGTGTAGTATTAAAATTTTCCATAAATGCCAATATTTTTTCTTTATCTAAAGAAGATAATTCTGTATAATGTGATGTCATTTTTTTTTAACCATGAATCAAGTCATAACATGGGAAAATATTTAAGATAAAAAAAAAGAGATATAAATAATATAAATCAAGTATATTGTTACACTATTCAAAATCGGGTGTTACTTTCTAACATGACTATACATATTCATATACTTATTGAATATCTGATAGATATATCAGTTATCCAATAGGTGTAAAAAATATTTCAGTATACTTATCAGATACTTGATAAATATATGAATATATACATTACTCTTACACCTATTAGATATCTGATAAGTGTGATATTTATAAATTTTTGACTAGTGTAAGTCAGGAATTTGATTTAATTTAATTTAGTTTTGGTTATATATGTTTCCAAAATTGATTTCTAATTTTTAGGATATTTCATTATTTTGATATTCAGAATCTATTTTATATATGAAAGTAAAAAAATACCTAGTTAAATATATTTTTAATCAAGAAATTTATTTGAATGGTTAAAAAATTTTGATTTTAAGTAAAATATATTAGAAATTTTTGAAGACAAATATATTTAGATATATTTGAATATATTTGACTACTCATATATTTATACATATAAATCATATTAATCTGTATTAATTTGTATTAATCTGTATTAATCTATAATAATTTATATGTTATATCAAATATATATATTAATAAATTTGTAAATATATCTGAATATAATGTATTTTTACTAATTACAAATAAATCCATATATATTTGTTCTTAAAAATTTCTGATATAATTTCATTTTCTATGAAAAACTATTTTAAATTTTTTCTTCAAAATTATAATTTCAGAATTTCAAAATAATTTTACATACAAGTATAGTTCTAATAAATTAGCCATAATTTATTTTTTAAAAAAAAAATAACTAGTACAGTCTTGTTTTATTTATATAATAAATTTTAGTAATAGT